AGAAGGTAGGAATGCTGTCTCACGAGCCGCAAACGAGTGACACAACGGGAGGGGTGAGTTCCGAGCGCAGACAAAAGCACACGCAGCACACAGAGTTTTCAGCGAAGCACGAAATTGCACGTTTCGCACATGGAAGGGCACGCCGGGGGATCCACGTGAGCACGAGCCTCACGACCAACCCACAGACATGGACGCCCACCAACCGCAGACCCCTAAACCACATTGCACGGACAACGAAGCGCGGAGCCAACACCACCGCCCGCGCATCGCAACACCGCCAGCCGCTCCTTCCATGTCAGTCAATTATCATGCATCCCGGCTTAGGCTTTTTTCATGGTGGTGGTGGGTACGGTATGGCGAGTGGCGGGAGTTCGAATGTAGCGGTTGCGAGGAGGGACGGTAATGTGCTGCTGGCTTCGTTGGAGGAGGAGGAAGGGGGCTGGGCTAACCAAATGGGGTGTCATCCGTAATTCAATTCTCTAAATGCGGCGCACAAACCTCCTCCTCCTCTCCCCCCCCCCTCCCCTAACACCTTCCATCCCTGGCTCTCGAGTTTCCCGCATTTTCCGTCCAACGGTCACCATTCGCCTGCATCACTTCTATTATAAACTTTTTAAAATAATAAAAATGCTGCTGGTGCAGCATTTTTGCTTAGTACAGTGAGGCAAAATAAATGAAAATCTCTGGCTGGTTCGTTTTTCATTGACTCAAACAGCGCTTAGTAGTTCTTCCGGGAAATCAGGCGCACACATTCCAAGAAATTCAAGCACGCATATATACATATAATTTTCATTTTTCTCAGGGTCTGATATAGCTCTGCTTTTCGTATCAAAGTGATAACACTAGTATCAAAACCCACACACCAATTGTCCGGATCAATTGTCATGATACCCATCTCTGCTGAAATCCACGGAAAAATAGAATTCCACCTTTTTCAGAAGAGAATGCATATTTTTTAAACAGCACACAGGCCACGCTAATGATCAGCTTCATTACCAAGATTACCATTCACTGATGACATACATCGGCATACTTATTCACCTAAGCTAAATTGAGCGTTGTTTTCTGATTTTAAGAATTATAAACGGACCGGGAATATCCTCTTAAATTTTCAACTTCCTAACTTCCCTGGCTGGGGGGAATTGAAAGTCTGTGACAAAGTTCACACACAAATGTATATATATATATATATATATAT